CACACATCACGCGCGTGCAAGCGTAGAACGAAGTAAGCTCAAATATCAAACGGGCGTTCTGCGCAAATCGCCGCTCGTCCGAGTGCCGTTGACCTCCGAGGTCATGTGTGCTCTGCCGGACGGTAGCGTCCGCCGGGGTTCGAGCCCGCATGGGGACAAGCGCTGCCTCTGACCGCGCCACCCGGCCTCCACCGCTGCTCCTGGTACTCACCACGTTGACAAACTCCTGATAGGTGACGACCTTGAGCCGGCCGGAGCTGATCCTGTCTGCCAGCTGGGTCCGCTTTCCCACGTCGACTCGCTCCAGAAAGTCGGCCGACGCCATGGCGCGTAGAAAGTCCAGCGCCAGGATCTCTCCGAACCCCTCGGGATCAAACTGAAGGCCAAGAACACAGCTAAGTGCAGTCAGCCAGGGGTGGTGCGCAGATGCAGCAGATGGCATCGGAGTGACGGTGCATGGATGGGGTTGGTCTGTCCTGGTGGTTGATCCTGGCGGTTGATCTGTCTTGGGACGCTAACCACAAAAGCACCATCCACCAAACCGAGGTTAATTCTCTACATGCATCGCCATATGCTCAATGTTCATTATTCTGGGAAAGTGGAGTGGACGTATGGCCGCCGCTCCTACATCCGTGCTGCTGACGAATTTTTGTGCACGTATTTAATCTCGTTTACTCGGGCAGCTGAGATTCGAATCAAACTGCCATCCGGCCTGGATTCGCATTCTTGAGCCCATGTAAACCTGCCTGCGAGCCGTTTGGCCATCACACCAGCTGAAGTCCTTTCCAATGAAAGGATTAACCGTTCAGGAGTGGTTTTGTTCAATCTGCAGTGCTCACCGGGCATGGCGGAGATAACCGAAAAATGCTTGGCGTATGTATTGATAACATGCATACTTTACAGGAATGATAAGCTGTTGCAGCTGGCAAGGCTTTTTGTTCAGGACGATCGAAGATGAAAAGACGAAGGGGAATCGGGAATATGGTGAAGAGAAGGCCATGCTGGAGATAGAAGTTGAGAGCTCCATGCCAGAGCGCTGGGGCTTTAAAATTTACAGGTCCCGCACAAAATCTTCCTCTGGCATGGTCCATCCTCTCACATATCCCTCCGGTGACGATCCCCGCACAAACCTCGACGATCTCTAACTATGACTTTCGACATAACTGCCGCACCGCGTCCATTTGTCTCAAAAGCGCAATCGATGTCATGACACGTTCCTCGGTTTCAATTTCCAAAGTTCGGACCACCGACTTTTATTTAATATAAGGGACGACTTGATCCGACGTAAGCCGGTTTCGTCCATCACACCTCAGCGAGTAGTCATGGTCGGATTGTCCATTCCGGTCAATTGTAAACCTCCCTCGGCTGTCCACGTAAGCGAAGCAAAAAAAAAAAGAAAAAAAGAAAAAAGAGGCGTTCAAACGCTGTCGGTCAGAGCAATGAACTTGTCGCCAATGGCGGTCAGAACGGATCAGTTCATTTCATTTTGATTCCAAAATTGATGCACGTTACTTTATACTGATCAGCAGTAAGGCGGGGACGTTCCGTTTTGTGTGTGACTCCCGGACATGTGCTTGAATTTCTAAAAAAGTTCCCGCGATCCAGGACCGGAATCCTGCTATCAAACATCCTTGAGGTAGCCAGAATTCGACTTTCTAAATCAGCACGCGTCTGGGACTGCCATACTCGATCAATTTTAATTTCTTTAATTTTCTTCACGGCCTTGACAACCACTGGATTGTGGGAGTTATGACCGGTTGTATGTGGACATACAGTAATCAACGTCGACAATACATCTGAAAAACCAAGGATTCAACAACGATCATGCACTAAACACGGCCTAAATCCTCTTGTCGCACCGGTTAACAATAAGACCGCTGGGATTTTCTGCATGGTTTGGGTGATTTTCTTTGAAGCCCGCCATTACGAAAAAACGTGGTGTAGGTGAGGATCTGGTTCAGATTAAGTGAGGGATATGGTTGCGAGATTGTGGGCAAAAGTACGTATGTAAAAAGCGCGTGATGCAATTCTTTATAGGATGAAGTGCGCATGCCTAATGTTCATCAAGATAAAGTGCGCAAGGCCCGTTACGGTGAATGTTCGTAGTGTCGAAAGTATCTATGAACAGAAGATGCTAAAATGCCTTCCAGGACAAAGTCCCTGACGAAAACGTTCGTACGCACAACAATTCGTTTGGGAAAAGGTCGGAAGCAATTCACGCCCACGTGTTCGGACGCGAATGTTAGTCAAAGATGAAGTTCGCTTGGCAAATTGCGCGAACGGAGGTTCGTGTTTCGACATATGATGTAAATGCACAGAGTGCGCACGAAAGTGTTTGCGAGGGAGGAAATTTGTTTTACGATAGTGCGTGCGCCAAACTTCGTATGCAGATTTGTACTGCACGTCAGAATGCAGATCTTCATTCATTTTTTCTTTGATGCAGCCCTTTGATTGGGACCCTGTGAACACCCGACCCAATATTGTCCAACAGTATCATTTGTGAACCGCGCGCCGAATAAAACTAAGAATTAATCATCTGAATTCATACTTCAAATCATCCACGGAAATCAACGCTTCATCCCGGCACTGATTTCAGCAAAATTTAAGAGCTCTCGGTGCATAATTTGGCACCCTGGTGGTTTATCTGTCCTGGAACGCATACCATAAAAGCATCATCCACCAAACCGAAGTCAGTTCTCTACACGCATCGCCACAAGCTCAATGTTCATTATTCTCGGAAAGTGGAGTGCACGTACGGTCCTCTCTCCTACATCCGTGGTGCTAACAAATTTTTGCGCACGCATGTAAGTTGAACCATACTTACAACATATGCTTGCGTTTAATTGGTTACGAACATTTGTTACGTTACGAGCGTGTTTTATGCATGCGTCTCCTTTCCATTTGCATTCCTGTTCTAAAACCCGAGGAAAATGTTTGTTACTGACCTCTAGCGTACGAATCGAGAACTAATGTTCCAGGGGGCAGTGTGGCGCACGTTTGAGGGGACTCGTAGACGTGAATGGATTCTGGCCACGCATCGAGACCTGCAGGTTAGGTCTTGGCATCCTTATTTACTAGGAAATGCAACATATTGAATACGGGTAGCGCAACACAGCAAAATGAGCTTCGAGATGCAATGCAAAATGGAAAATAGCTCACCTTATCGAAGAGATCCCTCCAGTTCTGAAAAACGTGAAAGGAGTTTGTAAAATCCTTCTCAGGCAAAAAGACTATGCACAACCCAACGGCTGCCTAATGCTACACGATGGTGAGATTATAGCCTGCATCCATCCGAGTGAATGTGAGCCTGTAAGGCGATGAAGTAGGGGTCACTTGAATGATTTAAGTCACACATGTCTGCGTCGAGTCAAAAACAGCTAATATCCCCTCCCCTCAGGAGGAAAAAGCGGAGCTGAAAGCAAATCACCCCACATATGACATTCAGGACAGTCTATAAAGGGAGCTAGCTTAACAAGAATTATTCGATAAGTATCTGCAACGGCCCGTTCATGCATGGGTATATATGCTCTCCACACGAAAAGGAATGTCGTAGGAAATAGCACACTTTCAGAGCGATTTCGGTTATCTATCTTAATTTTGTTAAACGACTTTAACATAGTTACATTTCACACAGATGTGCCTTTACTTGTAATCGCATGCCAGTGAAATTTGCGTCCGGCTCCTGTTGAAAATATATTGTGCAAAACGTCAAAAGCTTGTATAGCGTTGTACGGCATGCTCAGAGCTAAGGGTCTCAGCAATTATACCGCTACAGGACTCCGGCATTAAACTATTCACTTGTCGCTCACTTTGCCCTCTCCACCGGCCGTGTATTCCTCCGGTATCGAACTGGCATGCAAATCAAGGTAAGCTCTTGAGAAAATCCTGTTTTGGAATGGCCTTGGCAACATACCCCGCACAGCCCACTGAACAAAAATTTAATTTCTGAAGCTCTGCCACTGACACCACGCTCTATCATGCACTGACCTCGCTCGGCGTGACACCAGGCTCGTGCTGCTCGTGTCATTCAGTTTCTAATTTTGACGTCCAATTGTACGACCGCATACAATTGGACGTCAAAATTCCGCAGTCGGCGATCCCTTAAAATGCCCCCAACTTGTCGCGAGCCGATCTCTTAAAACGTCAACAGCTGACGGCCGTGCGGCTGAGCCAATCACCGTTGAGCTCGTGACCCGCAGGGTAGTGGCTCAGCAGTGGCACTGACCTACCAGCATGCCTGGGGCCGCACAGTACATGCAGCTGACGTCGTGCACTATCTAACCCTTGCATCAAACCGTGCAACGTGTCCTCAGAGCGCCCACGTGTCGTGTCTGCCACACAGCGTCGACTATCTACTGTTCTACATATTCTGCATGTCCTATTTTACGTGTTCTATCTACCGCTCCATACAGACCGTTCCCCATCCAACCACCCCACCGTGTATACAGCTGGTGCCGTGTTGAGTCTACTGCTGGCACCGTTCTGTACCCCACCCAGGGACCGTGCGGGCGCTACTGAAAGGCACCATGCAGTGATCCTTAAAGCACCGTGAGGCATAGTAATTAATACATAAAACAGTGCTGAGCACCTAACCTTCGAACCCCATTAATCGGCCACTGGCAACGTGCAACTTGCCGTTCACCGACAGTAGGCACGGAATATGACCATACAAGGCTCTGAATCTAGATGTCCCGTCTTCTGATTTTGATCCATCACTGTCCACGGTCGCCATGAGAATCAGGCACTGATCAGTGTCTAACCCCGGACCACACCCCGACACTGATCAGTGTCTAACCCCGGACTACACCCCGACACTGATCAGTGTCTAACCCCGGACTACACCCCGACACTGATCAGTGTTCAATAACCCCGGACTACATCCCCGGGACTACTGATAAGTGTCTAAACCCCGGACATATCCCTCGACACTGATCAGGAGTCTTAATCCCCGGGACCACACCCCGACACTGATCAGTGTTAACCCCGGACTACACCCCGACCACGATCAGTTGTCTAACCCGTGACAAACCCCGACGACTTGATCAGTGTCTAACGCGGACCACATCCCGGCTCTATAAATGTCTAACCCCGGACCACCCCAGACACTGACAGTGTCTTAAACCCGGACTACACCCCGACACTGATCATGTCTAACCCCGGACTACACCCCGACACTGATCAGGTCTAACCGCGGACCACATCCCGGCATCTATAAATGTCTAACCCCGGACCACACCCCGACAACTGGGGTGGATCAGTGCTCCTAACCCCGGACTACACCCCCGACACTGATCAGTGTCTAACCCCGGACTACACCCCGACACTGATCAGTGTCTAACCCCGGACTACACCCCGACACTGATCAGTGTCTAACCGCGGACCACATCCCGGCATCTATAAATGTCTAACCCCGGACCACACCCCGACACTGATCAGTGTCTAACCCCGGACTACACCCCGACACTGATCAGTGTCTAACCCCGGACCACACCCCGGCACTGATCAGCGTCTAACCCCGGACCACATCCAGGCACTGATCTTTGGCTAACCGTGGACCACACCCCGGCACTGATCAGTGTCTAAACCCGGACTACACAACCCGGCACTGATCAGTGTCTAAACCCGGACTACACAACCCGGCACTGATCAGTATCTAACCCCGGACTACACCCCCCGACCACTATCATATCTAACCCCGGACTACACACCGGCGACACTGATCAGTGTCTAACCGCGGACACACATCCCGGCATCTATAAATGTCTAACCCCCGGACCACACACCCGACACTGATCAGTAATCTAACCCCGGCTACACCCCCGACACTGATCAGTATCTAACCCCGGACTACACCCCGACACTGATCAGTGTCTAACCGCGGACCACATCCCGGCATCTATAAATGTCTAACCCCGGAACATATCCCCACACTGATCAGTGTCTAACCCCGGACCAAACCCCGGCACTGATCAGCGTCTAACCCCGGACTACACCCCGACACTGATCAGTTGTCTAACCGCGGACCCACATTCCCGGCATCTATAAATGTCTAACCGACCAGGACCCCGAAACTGATCAGTGTTCTAACCCCGGACACTATCACCCCGAAATGTCAGTTATCTAACCCCGGACCCTACACCCCGACACTGATCAGTATCTCAACCCCGGACTACAACCCCCGACACTGATCAGTTATCTAACCCCGGACTACACCACCGACACTGATCAGTGTCTA